AGAGGTAGGATTCAGGACTCTCAGGCAGTCAGGGAAGGAGGCTGGTCTCAGGAATCTAGGTTGGGGTGGGACAGCCAGGGATGAAGGCCATCTCAGGTATGCAAAGGCAAGGTGGGGGAGGGAATAGGCTCTGAGGGCTCCAGGGGACCAGGCTGAGGAATTGGGTTGGTCTGGGTGCAAAGGATCAGTAAGTGGTGGAGATTCTGGGCCAAGAGGGCAGTCCAGAGGTCTGGGGTGCCAAGAGAAGAAATGGGCCAGTGCCCATGCCAGGAGAGACAGGGTGGGGAAGCTGAAGCCAGGAGGGTGAATGAGGTTGTGAGAGTCAAGGTGTAGTGGGCGTGGCCTAACTTACCCTGGAAGGATGCTGGCCTCAGGAAGTTGGGGGCTGGGCTGGCCAGGGACAAAAAGGCTAGGTGAGGAGGGAACAGGCCCTGAGGGCCTCCAGGAATTGGGTTGGTCTGGGTGCAAAGGATCAGGAAGTGGTGGGGAGTCTGGGCCAAGAGGGCAGTCCAGAGGCCTGGGGTGCCAAGAGAAGAAATGGGCCAGTGCCCTCACTAGAAGAGATGGGGTAGGGGTAATAAAATATTTTTTTAAAAAAAGACGTTGAAGAGAGTAGGAGGGACATCTGTACCTCATCACTACTTCTAACCTCAGGCTAATAAGACACAGAAAAAAACATCCACATATAGGAAGGATATGGAGATGAGTACCAGATTTTGCTGTGAACACCAATACTGGGCCTACCCCAGTAAAACCCAGTGCCAGGAAGCCCCCCTCAGCCTCAATCCAGATTAGCCTGAGGCTGCAGTTCAACCATATCACCTTCAGGCTCATCTTCAGGCTCACCCCAGCTCTAAACTGGCCCCCACAGTCACAGACTCTGCAAACTGTAGATCCCAAATCCCAGCCAATCTCAGGCAAAGGCTCCAGGCCCAGCCCAAGTTTAGGACTGGCTTAGAGCCAGCCTGGCCATTCCACATTCAGGTCCTTCCCTACACTGGGCCAACCTTTTTTTTTTTTTTTTTTTTTAAAGCAAACTGATTTAATTCCACACAAAATAAAGCTGCAACATGGCTCCTCGGTAGGTGTCTTTCTGTTCCCAGGGACAGGAATTAAAAATACATTGTTCTGTTCTTCTAAAGTCACACTGAAATGGAGTGGATAGACCTGCAACCTTTTGTGAATCATGTTTGTGAGCAGCTCGTGGATATAGTTTATCTCACCCAGACCTGGCAAAAACACCAGCACACTGCTCCGCTGCGACACAAACTATGCCCCTGACCAGGTCTTGTTCCCACTCTCCTTCATGTCCAGGTCATCGAACATCTGAATTAGAGACACAGCAACTTCATAGATATCCTTATCACTGGATCCTCCAGACAATAGGGAGGGAGCCCACTATGATAAATATGCCCCCAAATCATTAAGATAATACTCCTCAATAGCATTGGGTTTGCCATCCACTTCAAAAATATACACAGGAATCATCTTGTTCTAACTCCAGGCTATAGACCTAGTCTCTGTACCACACAGTACCAGGTCAGCACCTTCAGGTAAGATTCCAGGCCATACCCTGCAGTCACTGCTTCAGGTCTAGTCAGTGCCAGGTTACTTTCTGTATCCCACACAACAAGGTTCTAGGCCTGCTCTAGCTAACATAGGGTCAAAGCCCATCCCTTCAGACTCCAGCACAGGGACAGCAATCACAGATCCAGACTCTAGGATTATATATGCTAATTCAGGTTAGAGACAGGCCACTGTGGCTCCAGATCCAATCCCACACCCAATGATCCAGTCTGCAGGTGTATCCAAACCATACAATGTCTGGCTGTGTTGACCTATGAGGTTTCCCTCAAACATGAACCAAGTCTCACAAGACTCAGAAAGGTAGCCAACTTATAACACAGGACCCAACCAAGAGTCAAGAAACAGAGAAGCAGGTAAATATACTCTAAACAAACAAAAAACAAAAGAAACCTCCAAAAAGTAACTCTAATGAAATGGAAATTTGAGATTTACCTGACAGAGAAGTCAAAAGAACCAGTTGTGAAGATGCTCACCAGCTGTCTTAGTTTGTTTCTTCACTGCTGTTCATCAGGGAGCCCAAGGTAGGAACTCAGGGCAGGAACTTGGAAGCAGGAGCTGGAGCACAGGCCATGGAGGAATGCTGCTTACTG